TTAAGTAGTTATGTCAGGTTGAAAGAGTAAAGACCTTAGCTTAACATAATATTTGTTTTCTATTTTTTCCTTTTGTCTTTTCTTGTTCTCTAGTTCTGCAAGTTCAACTTCACGAAGTTGCATTGAGCCAGTTCCTTTGCATGGTTAGACGGTCATGGATGATACATTAATTTTCAACCGATTATTACTGACCTCAATGTAATTTCTTTGAAAAATTTCTATAATCTGCACTCTTTATATTCTTACAGAGCACCTTTAACCAATATTGAATAGACTCGTGTAATGGCCAATCAGTTTTACTTAAATCTTCAGTCAATCTAGCTTGATTTTAGTTGGCCTGGTGTGTAGTGGCAAATAATTTTTTCTTTTACTATTTAGCAGCAAAAAGAATTTTCTTTCGTCTAATCTTGGGTATGGTTATAAAATTCCCTCTCGAGTCGTGTCGTGTGAAAATAATGGTTCTTTTAATTCCCTTGTGCAAGACAAAAAGAAGAAAGGAAAAACAGATGGACCTGGCTATGATTGCCACCAGTGTATCAATAGACATCGAAGTCATGGGTTTTTTTTGTTTTTTTGATATGAAAAGTCATGGGTTTTAATATTAAGTAGATTGTGTATGTAAAAATTGTTACATCTTGAGATCAAGGCCTAGATCAAGTGGTAGAGAAAAGCCTTGCCAGGTTAGTGACCTGGGTTCGAGTCTCATTTGAAAGAAAGGGTGAAATTGTAAAAAAAATCCCTCACACTAAACTCGTATTATTGTTGTTAAACAATTGCCTTGGCAGTAACTTTAAGAAGTAACGGTATTGTACCCAAAAATAAAATATAAAGCTGCACAACTACAGTTGGATGAATATTATTAGTAATTTTATTTCTTTTCAAATCATTCTTTTAGCAAAACATGATGCCTTTTTATTTCTTTTCATCGTTCATTTTGCCATCTGATAGTTTGATTTCCAGGTATTGTGCAATAATTTGAATGTTTGGCTTCTCTGATCTTCATTAGGCCCCATTAAGAGTGTGTTTGGTAGGGATTTTTAGAGGAAAAATTGATTTTTGAATAGTGATATGATGGGAAATGTGTGGTTGAAAAAGAAGAAAAAAGTATTGATGTGATAGAAAATATTATTTTATTGAAAAATGTGTGGTTGAAAATGAGAATTGATTTACTTCAGAAAA